AAAAAAAAAAAAAAAAAAAAAAAAAAAGAAAAGAAACAAATGGTGATGCAGGTAAGGATGAAGAATTTCCCAAACTAAGAATTAATGTAACACATTTTTACATGAACAAGCAATAAAATTAATGTTACACAGGATATTATACATGTATATGTAAAACTTTGAAGCATTTTCTTTTAAGCTTTAATTGACAGTACATATGAACACGCAGAATAGGGCTACATAAATGCATTCACACTTTCACAATATATATGTTATGTATACATACAAGCAAGCACAGAAGTGTACGTAAATATGTTCCTATCCTCCTACGTGTATACATTCACCAGCAAGTACATGTCTGGGGGCGTACTTATATGCCTCCTGCCGTGCTTGCAGAACCTACAGGTGTCTTTACATACCTATGGGAATAAGCATTATACATGGTCACGTGCAAACTTATACATGTAAATGTGCAACTTTACAATGTCATAACCACTTCATCTTGCTAGCTTTTTTTTTTTTCTGCTTCTTTTTCACCTGCATGTACACACAAAACAGCCAAAAAAGAAGGAAAAAAAAAAAAAAAGAAAAAAGTTAGCAGATCTATATGTAAATTAAAAGAAATAAACGAAATTAAAAATGGGAAATGCTTTAGAATTTTCTTTGAAATTTTATGACTTTTTTTTTTTCTTATTTACTCTATGTATAATATTTATACTTTGGTTATAGGGCAAATTAAAAGTGATGGGAAAAGAACTGTAGAGTTACGTTTGTTGTAGAATAAGACAAAATATATTTCATAGTAGGAAAGAAAAAAGGGAAGGAATGTGTCCTCCTGGTGGGTTATTTACTCGTATAAAATGGCGTAAAGTGTGTTTTTTTGTACGTTTGCCTTACTTGGTTACGTGAACACACACGTTTAGCACTTAACGTCTTTTCCGTTTTCAGTGCCTATATGGGTTATATGTGAAGGGCACAAAAATGACCATAGAAAAGGTTCTTCCGTTAATTCGATATGCAACTGTGTGTTTACACGTTATAAGCTTATGTTGTTTTTTTTGAAACATTTCTTATTCCCGTTTAGCGCTGATATGTACATGGGTAATTGTTCACACACAAGTATACTTGTATGTTCTGTTCTATCTTGTTCATTCGGTTTGACTTGTCCTTGGAGCCTTATTTTGCCAGTTCGTTCATCACCTGGTTTGCTCCGTCAATTTAGCAGTCTGTCCGTCGATGGTTTCGAATTCGCTTCATCTACAGGCATGCAGTTACAATGTCGACCGTCGAAGTATTAATTTCCCCCAACGGGTGTAAGACTACTTCTGCGCCCTCCTTTGATTTTGTTCAAATAATATGTCTACCTTTTTGTGCACACCCGATTCCAAGGTTTACGCTTTTGGTGGAGTGATCTTATCAGAAGGAGGAATTGTTTATCACTATTTTTTTTCTTATGAGATTACACATTTGTATGTGGATCTAAACGTATACATATGTACACATATATACAAGTGTGTATTTTTCTTTTCTTGTATTTTTTTTTAAATTAAATATATGTCACTTTTTTGTTTGAATCGAGTGACAGAAAATTACCAATTGCGTAACGTGGATGTTTCGATGAGAATGCATAGCGTTTATTTATTATTTTTTTTTTTCCTCCCATAACCCCGCACCAGGAAAAAAAAAAAAAAAAAAACGATTCAGTGTTTATGGTTTTGGCGATTCTACAATGAGGCCTATGCGTAGGTTGTGTAAATGTGTACATGTACATGTAATCATTTATTCATACGCTTAGGCTTTTTCGCTTTTTCCTTTTTTTTTTATTGTTTTTTTTTTGTTTCTGCATTCTTCCGTGCCTCATCAAACTGTTTCTCATGTTCAATATTGCCCAACACGGCAGAAAGGGGTTCTTCACGTAAATAAATGACGACTCGATTTTCAATGTCGGGCTGCGCTTACACAACGCGTGTATGCCCCGTGTTCCACAGCTGCGATAAATTTTGTGACAAAGCTGGAGGATTCAGCTGGAAATATTGACTGAAAATTCGACTGAACATCTGAGTCCGGCGCTCCTGTTGCAAGGCATTTAGATGCTTCCTTGGGTGCGCCCTTATGTACATATATCTATGTGTGCAAAAATTCACGTACCCTCACGCGCGCATACGATATGTACCTATGCGCACGCACTGAAGTGGCACGCTGTACTGATTTGCTCTATTGATACATTGAATTAGATTTGTTCCCCCTTTTGTTCAACTATAACATGTAAAAATGAGCATTAGAGAGGAGGTCCCCATGGTCTTGGTAATGCCATTACTATGGTTTAAGGGGGCAAATGCTAATTTAGCGAACGAGGTGGGGAAACCAAAAAAAGAACAAAAAGTAATCAAAAGGAGGGGAACAAAATATGAACGAAAGGCTAAACAACAAAGTGGTACACGAGTAAGGAAAAAAAAATGAGGACAGAAAAAAAAATAGAAATTATAAAAGCATGGAAAAATGTTTGCATACCTTTGTAATGCCTTTTACATAATTCCTTAAAAAGGAACAAAGTCATATTATTTTGTCAGTTGTTTTTCCATTTTTTTTTTTATTGTTTCTATAAGTATTGACAAATGCATATTTGAGCGATAAGGGCTCACATAGCTCATTTGTAAGCTCAAATTAACAACATTTCTGGACCAACAAATTTCCAGGTGTAAGGGGGAAAATGCATAGAAGACACACAAGTTTGCATGCGAAAAGGAAACATGGTGTGTTTATTTTTCTAAATAAAAACCAGCTGACTGGAAATAATAAATACGAAGAGCAGGGTGGTACCTTCATTATAAAGAAGAGAACCCTTTTCACATGTGAATATTTTCCGCATTTCATCATCAACTTGTGTACCTACATGTTTGCAAGCAAGGGAAATAAACTTCCAATGGTGTCTACATATTTTTTGTAAACAGAACTTATAATGAATTGATCGAAAAATTCGATGCACAATTTTGGTGCATTACTAACACGTTTGCATAACATGTTGGAAAAAAAAAAAAAAAAAAAAAAAAGAGAGAAAAATTACAACCTAAATCTTATTTTGGGTAATAAAAAAGGAGGAGCATTCCTTACATGGTTTTTCATGACGTGTAAATGGGTATCTTTAACTTTGTTAAAATCACAGAGTTGTATACAAAATGTTTCCACCAAGGTATATCTCTTTTTTGACAATTATCACCTGTACAGCAAGGTAAAAATGGAGCGCACTTGCTTTGCGGGGACGACAGGAGGTGGGAAACAAATAAATGGGTTAGCAACTCGATGGTGTAACAAAGGTGTAAAGGCAGTTCCTTTCGACAAAAAAAGAACAATACATGTATAAAAAAGAAATGGAACACTTAAAAAAGGTTAACGTATACATGTCAATGTATAAACGTGAACGTATTAACGTTTACGTATAAATGGGAAGATACACGTGCGTGCTGTGCTCAGTACTCCTCACAAGTTAACATCCCACATTTGGCAACGCCGTGCGTCGCATTTTGTGGTGGATCAATTTTCCCTGCTGACTCACATTTGTGTAGCAATTTGGAACAATGAAGGAATGGAGAATTGCACACTCTTACGCATTTTTCCGCCTAAGACGATTTGTATATTGCTGTTAAAAAAGCGCATTTTCTTTTCCTATTTTAGCTGTGTTGTTAGCTTTTCAATGGCGTTTTTTTTTTTTTTTTTTTTTAATTTGCTTTGCATGTTCGTTACGTGTATTGTCAATCCATCTGATATTGACTGCATGCGCATTCTTTGGAAAATGAACTTTCAGACAGGATGTTCCATAAGGAAATATTTTATTAAACATTATTTTCCATTTCACACGTCGTTTTGATGTTTCTTACATTCCTCTTTTTTTTTTTTTTCCTCTCCCCCTCGAATGTGTGCCTTTGTTTGGAGGCTATGTCTCTGTTATTAGTAGTTATTCTCATGCGCAGTGTTTCCTCAAAATGGATGTTTTCCGTGCAAGGGAAACGTGTTTTCCTTTTTTTTTTTTTCTACTAGCTGGTATACATTTCAGTGTGTAATCGCCTTTTCTCCCGCTCAAGTGAACAAATGTTCCGCGGGTAAGCAGGATATAGGCGGTATATAAGCGGCGTATAAATGTAAATACGTGATTGATGATGGGACATGTGCCACAAACAACGTCGCACGGGTCTTATAGGACGACAAATAATTGCGCACGACGGCACCTGGGCAGCCACCGCATGACTATCTCCACGTGTAAGCATATACCCGCGCGCATACGACATCACCCCCACTTCCGTCTGCTAACCCATGTGTACTCTATTGGAGAAAAACTATACCTGTGTTCGTTTGCGCAAATGTAGCGGTTCATCAGTGCGATGCCTTTTTAACCATCACGTGAATTTTGGATGTTGGTCTGCTCTCCCGAAATGACTTTTCACATGGGCTACATAACGGATCGACATGTGGGACTTATTCTGTGGAGCATTCACCCTTGTTTCGTCTTTCAAAGGAATAATAATTATTTTCCTCTTTTCCTTTTTTTTTTTTTTTTTT